AAGAAACTTAAGCCACTTCTGCATGAGTTCGATTCCCGCCTGCCCCAGAGGTGACCACATGGCGAGGCAGACCTCTCCTGACCCGCTCGCTGCTCCCCTCAGCAGTGTACTTCATTGATCTGCCTGTTCTGCTCCCCACTCTGTCTCTGGTGGATCCTCTCACCTTCCGCATCTCTGCCCTGTACCCCAGTTCTGTAGGCATAAATAAATAAATCTTAAAAAAAAAAAATTGGCCATGAGTTAAAAATTGTTTTACCTGAATGATAGGTTCCTCAGGATTCATTATACTATTCTCCCTACTTTTGTGTGCTTGAGATCTTCATAATAAAATAAAAAATAAAAGGCAAATAACTAATTAATTCCACAAGTTATATTACTTAGTGACTTAATACAACAAACATCTATCATCTCAGTTGCTGTGCTCATAGTTTAGCTGGGCACCTCTGGGTCAGTCTCACTAAACTCACCTCTGGGTCAGTCAAAATACCACCAAGTGGGGCCTCCCTGGTGGTATTGTGAAGCTGTCCTAAGCCACTACAGCATGAGTTTGATTCCCAGCCAGGGAGGTGACCACATGGCACAGCAGCCCTCTCCTGTCTTACCTGCTGCGCCCCTCGGCAGTGTATTCTGTTCGATCTACATGTTCTGCTCCCCATTCTATCTCTGATGGATTATCTCACCCCCACACACTCTGGTCTGTAACCCCAGCTCTGTGTGCATAAATAGATTAATCTTAAAAAAAAAAACACAAACAACAGCAGAAGCATAGGTATCTGAGGATAGGATCTACTTCCAAGTTCACTCATATGGATATTGGCTATGAGGGACCCAAAATCCTGCTACATGAATAACAAGCTTCCCAAAGAGACAGAGATGAGAAAGAAATATCAGAATAGAAGCGGCCATCTCTTCTAACCTAATCTCAAAAGAGATTTATCTTCTGAATATTCTCTTGCTTATACACTCTGAAGCAACTACATAAGGATCTGAATAGAAGAAGGTAGGGATCATTGAGTCAGTTTGGAGAGAGTCACCATGGTGCGCAGGGCAAAAATTGAGTGTTGTCAATATTATCCTTCAAATCCTGAAGCTAAACTGTTAGCATAACTATAAGCACAGTAAACAGATATACCAGTACACATGCCCAAACCTGCCAGCTTTTTCTGCAATGCTGGAATATACCTCTGTTTTACTGAATCCTAGATGTAGTTGGCAACTTGAATCAAGAACTGTGTTGTTTCAAAAATAAATTTGTCTGAGTAATAAATTCACCTTTGACCTTGTCCAGTGTCTAAAATTATGTCCAAGTAAATTAAAAGCAGTTATGAGGAGATTCTAATGTTGAAGTAGAAAAGCAGCATGGTTGAAGTGGGGAAACTTGTCACCTTAATGACATCTGCCACTTAGGTTCATGTTGCTGACCTAACTCAGTCCCACAGTCACCAAGCAGCTCTCTGATTATAATTTGACCTCTAAATGAGTATGTAAATAAGAAGATACTCAGACCTAATCTACTCCATGATTATATTTCCCATTGTAAAATAAAAAGTTTGTATTCTGGAAGTCTCTATATGCCAGGTTAATGTAAGTCTGGCCCCAAGGGACAGATTTACTCTTGGTACATTTACAAAATAGGTTTCTGAGCCCCTGGACTGTGGTGAATTCACCCTCACCCTGGTAATGCCATCTTATGGCAAACCATCTAAATGTCAAAAAAAATCTAACTTTGACAGTTGTACTTACTGCACACAGAATATATCCAATGAACACCCCATATTTCTGTTCCCTTGCTATACAATGGGGGATATATGACAGTTCTGGCCAACAAATGAGCAGAACTGACAATTCTCACTTCAAGATATGAAGATGTGATACAGCCCCATGGGAGCCACATGTTGAGGTGGAAAAATATAAAATCAACCTCAATCCCTGACCATGAATAGAACCTCTCCTGACCTGTAGCAGGTAAGCAATATGCATGCACAAAAATATCTGACATATATTGCCACTGTGCTTTAGTGGCTATTTCATACAACAGCATAATCTAGTCTATCTTTATACTGCAGTGGATGCCAACTTTGCTGGGGCACTTTATATCAAGGACATTGCATGTTAGTGCTGGGATATATCTCTAACAATCTCCTTCCACATTCTCCAACTGCCCACTCAGTCAGATCAGGTAGGCAGAGGTAGGCAGAAACAGAAGAGGAAGGAGAAAAATCTAGTACAGCCTACTCTAGCCTGTCCTACTCAGTCGAAAACTCACACCTGCCCATATGCTAATCATACGACTCTGCTCCAGCTACACAAACCATCCATTTCATCCCCTCTTGTTTATTTACTCAGAGGTGCTTGTCTGGCTGCCACCCCTGCTCATTTCCAGAGCACTGGGGACACCACAGCTCTCAGCCAACCACTTGCAGGCTGACCTAGTAAACACAGGAAATAAAATCAGTTGCTCTGACTACTCAGACTCAACTATTCCTAGTTAAATAGGCAATTTCAAAAACTCACATAAGTGAATGTAGGGTTTGAAAATACAGGATTAAAAGTCAACTCAGATGCTTCAAATTGTAACTTTCATACAAAAAACTCAGTCACCTCAGAGACTTGTTTCCAAAAAATATCTAAGAGCTTAACATAGGGCCTTCCCTGGTGGCGCAATGGGTTAAAGCACAGCACTAAGAAGCTAAAGCCACTTCAGCATGAGTTCGATCCTCACCTGCCCTGGAGGTGACCATGTGACACGGCAGACCTCTCCTGACTCGCCCACTGCTCCCTTCAGGAGTGTACTTTGTCAATCCTCCTGTTCTGCTCCCTACGTGAATCCTCTCACTGCCCCGGCACCTCTGTCCTGTACCCCAGTTCTGTATGCATAAATAAACAAATCTTTAAAAAAAATTTTAAAGAAGAATTTAACATGTATTTAAGATATAAATTTCAGAACCTTTCAACAACACATAAAATAAAAAGATTCATCCAGTTCAGTCTCAGATTTGGAAAACATTGCACTTTGTGGAAACCCCCCAGTAATTCTGGCCTTTGGTGCCAAGACCCACCAATGCACTGTGATATACTGTGAGGAGTGTAGCAAGTCATTGGTTACTCATTAAGTTAAATCACTGAAACCAATGAGGTATCTACTTTATTGTAAATTAAGGAAAGCAGAAAACTACTGCTACAATAAATTTACTTTCACATGCCTTAGAAAAACAGACACAATAGCATTAAGGTAAAAAAATATTGGGGTGATACAAGAATTTCTACCTGATCAGTATGCAGTTTTTGACATGGCTGAGCGCTGCCATCAGTGAGATCACCTTTCACTTAATGACTTGAAAGTGCCCCCCCAGGTTAATTAGACATTGAATATTATAAATTTAAGTAAATTTAAAGTTATGTTAAAACTCATTTTAAGCCCTCTCTGATGGCACAAGAGGTTAAAGAGCAGCACTATGAAGTTGCCCATAGCCAAGAGTTTGACCCTGGCCAGGGTGATGACCCACGTGGTGCTTCAGACCTCTCCTGTATTTCAGTAGATCTGCCTGTTCTGTTCCCCACTCTGTCTCTGGTGAGCCCTCTCACTCCCTGCACCTCTGGCCTGTACCCCAGTTCTTGTATGCATAAATAATTTTTTAAACTCACTTTATTAAAGTAGGAGAACCCTACTAAAATTTTCTTTGTAAAATTAGTTATCAAGATTAACATTTCTTGCCATGTTTAGTATCATTTAATTTACTTTTTGAAGAAAGAATTTTACTTTTGGGGTTTTTTCAGTGTTTCATTTTATTAACACACTAATGCACAGTTTTTAAAAATTTCTATATATTTTATTTTGTTATATGTCCTAATTTTTATTAGGCTTGAGCATGCTCTATAAAAATTCCGTGTTTAGATACATTAAAACTACTCTCAATCTTACCCCCAAATCATGAACTGCTTTTCTTTTGTATCTTCATGACCCATCCTTTTCCCTATAAATTCATTTTCCCAATAGACAGCAGAACAGGTCTACTATTTTAGAGTCTACTGTCATTTTCTTTCTGGTATTGTAACAAAATGCTTTTCTATTTTATGTTATTGGGTCTTTTAACTTTATTTTATTGTTATATTTTTAATTTTGCAAAGAACTGATGTGCAGGCCAGAGGTGTTGGGGGTGAGAGGATTCACTGTAGACAGAATGGGGAGCAGAAACTGTAACAGGTACAGGTTTCATGGACTCCGCCCCCAATCCAGACAGTGGAACTACAAATCCCATCAATACCAAGGAGAAGCACACTGGGACGTGAGGGCGGAGCTGAGCAGCCAGGTTAGGATAAAACCGGACATGTGGGCTCTGGGGGTCTCTTGGCTTGGTGGTTCATGGCTGGTCATTTGGCTCTCAATCAGTTTTCAGCGTGCTGGTGGAGTCCAAGTCAGCAGAACTGGTAGGACATCCTATTACCTTGTATTTTTCTTCCTCTTTCCCTGGGTTGTTTCCTTTACCTTTCTCTTTGTAAATAAATCCATTATTGAACCTTTTTTGTCCACAGTACAATTGAGTCTTAAGTGTGCGGGTGAGGACCCACAGACAGGCAGCCCAATTCACACTGGGGTGCCCTGTAACAAAACGGCAGATACACTGAAATACACTGCAGAGGGAAGCAGCAAGCAGACAAGAAGAGGTTTGCTCCTTTGAGTAGCTCCCTGGCCAGAAATCAAAGTCAGGCTGTAGCAGTGGTAGCCCTGAGAGTTAACCCTGAGGCTGCCAGGGAGGCTCTACTGGGTCTTTTTAATGGCTACCAAATATTCCATCAGACTCGCATCTAAGTTTAAATGTTTCAAACTTACTCCTTAAGAATGTACTCTCCTTCTGTGACTTGTTAGCCAAAGGTGATGCTGCTCTTTGCTAACAGTTTCTTACATTTGAGGTATAGTCACAGGTCTAGCCAAAACCTCATTAGTAAAATAATGTGGAATCATTATTAAATCTCCATTTATATGCTTCATTTTCTAATTCTAACTTGAGGATTAAGTTTCCTATTCAAGTTTGCTAAAGGCAGTCCCTTGTATTTCTTTATAGGCAGAAAATACTTAGTCATTCAAGAGAGCAGCTTCACAGCACAATTCTCTCTAAGCGGTCAGAGTGCCCTCTAACACAATAGCAGCACCTCCCCGAATGTCAACTCGTCCATCAGATCGCAATGAAATCTCCAGTTCTCCTCCTCGGGGGGAACATTGAAAGGCTAAAGAAAAACAAAATGAGTCACAAGTTAAGAAAGACCTCACAAGTTAGCAGGAGACCTTTAATTACAAGCACTAGAATTCTCCCAGTCAGTGTAAAGAATAAATTCCTCCATCTGTCTATGTTACTGCCCATGCCCACCCCCTTCCCCCTGTGGACTGAGGCAAGCTGATCCACAAAACACATAACTAACTCTGAGTCTTCCCTTTACTGAGCCTTTTCCTGGGCAACTTTCTCAATCACTTCCGTAACGCCCAGACACACACCCCTGTGCTCGCAGGCATGAAGCATGGACATGTAAAAAACAGAGGTGCACAGAAGATCTAAGGAGATAAAAGGTATGGCCTTGACCCTCCTGAGAAGGCTCCCCCTTCCCAGCTCTGAATAGGAAAAGGGGAGCCCCAGTTACTGTGGTCATCAAGTAGCCACACACCAGAAAAACAAGAAAGATTTGACCTGAGCCTTCCTGCTTACTTAGGGTATGACTAGACTCACCAAAGACAGAACAGCCAGTCTGTTATTCCCAAGTGGGGACAGAGATTGCACCCTCTGCTAAGCCTTTCATCCCTTGGAGGTGGTGGGGGTGGGGGGACTCCTACTTTGTAAGGGCTGTGTAGCCCACATTGGCTGCACTTGTCTGTTTTCTCTGCCTCTGAGCAATATAATCACTAGGGGAATAGGTTCAAAAGCAACTCTTTTATTCAACCCTGTGACTAGCAAGGGCAGTCAGGAGCCGTGGTGAACATCCAATCTCAACCTGCTGCATTCTAAATGACTTCTGTTATACAGCTAGCTAATTTTATTCAGGAAAAATTTGTTGGGCACTTATTGTGCCTGTGTGTGTGGAGGAACAGATGTCTGGATGTTTTGTAGGATGTTTTGAATAGAGGGCTTAGGGTCAAAGAATTTTAAAAACATTTTCACATGGGCACTACATGACATTTACAGTCAAATGGATAGTACATAAGAAGAAATACCAACTTAAAGTTAGGCAATGAAAAAGACCTTGATAAAAGAGTTGTCCTACCATACATCTCTTTCTTCCCCAGTTCCTGGGACCAGTAGCTGCTGAGAACAGTATGTGCAGACCCTAAAAGAAGTGAAAAGTTATGACATAATCCCTAAGAAAACAGAGTTGATTTTGTTGTAAATTCACAAGCAATTACAATAGTTTGACAAAATCTTAGATGACAGAATCATACTGTGACCATGGCCACAGTGGAGTGTGGAATTAGGAGTGGAAAGAGAAAGAGAACTGAGGGATAAGTTCCTCTGAGGGATCCACTGTGTCTTATATTTTCTGAAGTTTCATCTGTCAATTCATTGTTACCCCATGATAAGGAAATCATACCTTTACTTTCACGTAAACCTTTCTACATCTTTCAAGGTAAAAGTCTCCTTCTGTCTAAGATACACATGTAATGAAAGGTGGGAAGCCTGACAGAAGGCCCGAGTTTCCACCACGTCAGCATTCCACTCAGTCAATATTGGAGTTTGATGCCAAAAGAATTTTTTTTTAAGGGGGATTTTCCCCTCCCACTTGATTGTGACCTACATATAGATCAGAAGATAGATATTAAAATTAATAAAATGGAAACGAATAAATGATACAAAAGTCTTTGAGTGAGAAAAGCAAAAGGAAGGAAAGTTCCTCCTTCCGGAAAACATATTAAATGTTATCAGGCCCCACAGGGTGACCAGTCCCAGTCTGCTCAACTGTCCTCATTTTAGCGCTGAAGGTCCTATGTGCCAAGAAACCCCTCGGTCCTAAGCAAACTGAGATGGTTGGTCCCAAAGCCCAAAGCCCTTCCCACTGTGGAAAAGCATTGGGGGGAAGGGGGGGGAATGTCCTTTGTGCAGTTAAAATCTTTGTGAAGTAACTGTGCATGCAACAACCCAGTCAGAACTCTCTTCCAGAAGAGGTTGGTTGAATTGTACTATTTGGATGTCGTTAAGCATTTTCCTGAGTCATTTAAAAGTGCTTGCTGGCTAAGCTTTGAACTTAATGTGTTTTTCTCCTCCGAGAGTAACTAAAGAAAGGTTACGAAGCTACCCTAATGTCTGCAATCTGTCCAGCCTCCTTCCACCTTGGTCACCACCCCATATGCAAGTCTTCTCCATCAAGCTTTGCTACCCTTTTGCTGCTCAGCCTACGATTCTCAAAGCTGAAAGTAGGGGGCTTTATATTCTTGCTTACTTTTTACTCATCCCTCTGCTTCTGCCTGGTAGAAAATCTCCAATACGCATATTCCCACTTGAGAGCAGGACTGGGAAAAGAGGGAAGGAAACACTATCCCTGTTCCTATTTCCCACCTACATGCCAGAAGTTTTTTTCTTAAAAAATCAAGGCTTATCTAGATGTCAAAGATCATGCATGCTGGTTACTAAAGAGAGTAACAGCCTTTGGGCATTGGACTTTGTCCACCTCAGTCCCTAAATTTTGCAAATGTCAAATCTGGAAGTGTCAACTCAGGGGAACAGTTTCATAGTTATTATTAAAAATGAGATAATGGTGACTAGGCACATACCAAGTGGCAGGCTCTGAGCTGAGCACTCAACAAGCATTGTGCTAGTGACCCTGTGGGATATGTAGAAGGAAACTTGACTCCAGAAGTTATTTGCTCAAGGTCAACAGCTAGGAAGCTAAGGTGCAAATCCAGCCTTAAAACAAGATTTAAACTTACTCTACCACTTCCTTTATTCTGGGTTTTTCATTTGAGACTTCAGTGAAGGGGTGGGGGTGGGGGCAGATCTAGAAACAAAGGCAGCTCAACTCACACAGCCAGGGCCCTTAACTACTTGTTATCCTCCTTCTCTGCTGTTTAACCTTCCCCTGGCCCCATATCAGAAATTACCTGTTACAGGATCTTCAGCCACACCAACCCATGGTGCAAAGTATCTGGAGTAAAAGTCAAACCCTTTCTTCTGCCCACCAGGCTGTCCTTTAAGGGTGAGAATGAGTCCTTTCACCTTCCCTGAGTTTTCGATTTGCGGCAGATTCTGTGTGCTCACTTTCAGGTTCTCCAGAAATGACCTTGTTCATACATAGGATACATTAGGACAAACCCATTTCACAGACCACCCACTGCACACAGAGTAAAACAGGCCCATGCAGTGTGCTCAAACAGCTGAGCAGAATGGGAAGAAGAACGCACTGTAACTTCTTACTAGGGAACAAAACTCTCTGGCTATATGAATCACACCACACTCTGACTGCACATAGCACAGCCAGGCCAAACCAGAGTTATAATCTGGGGACTTAACCCTCCCTGTGGTGCTGACAAATAAAAACCCTTATTTACCTGTCATAATTATCACTGAGCCGGACAAGGAGCTTCCGGGTATCTGGAGAATAGCAGATGTCCTGGACCACGGTGTCACCTATGGCAGTCTGTGGGGACAGACCAGAAACTCAAGAGGTACCCTGGGGTCACGTCTTGGGTCCCCTCTATGGGAAATGACCTCTCGTGAGCATCTGCTGTATGTCAAGAGAACCATCATCTTCAATGCTGGAGGCTGCATCAGTTTGGGAACTCAAGATGTTGCCCAAGGAAGATCAGTTTCCTGGTAACCACAGAGGATTAAAAGAGATCTTTCTCCCCACAGACAAGAAGAAAGACTTAGAGAGGCCTAGGGTCTCTCTCTCTCTCTCTCTCTCTCTCTATCTCTCTCTCTCTCTCTCACACGCACCTACACACACAAACTCACAACCTGTCCCAGGTTTTTTTGTGAGACAAAACTCTAAATCACTACTGTGAGGTGGGGAGAGCTTCATACTTACCTCTTAGAGTTAAGAATATTAGATGAAGATTAACTAAAACATTCTACATGTCAAGAACTCAGGACCAGCAATTTGGTTAGAAGTGGAGACTAGATTAACACTACTCTCCTAGGCAAGGACACTATTTTCACTTAGATTGTTTACTGCAGATCAATAACAAAACAACATTTTATAAAAATACCTTGATTTGGCCCTCCCTAGCGGGTTAAAGCACAGCACTGAGAAGCTAAAGCCACTTCCACATGAGTTCGATTCCCACCTGCCCCGGAGGTGACACATGGCGTGGCAGACCTCTCCTGACCCGCCCGCTGCTCCCCTCAGCAGTGTACTTTGTCGATCTGCCTGTTCTGTTCCCCACTCTGTCTCTGGTGAAGCCTCTCGCCACCCCTGCACCTCTGGTCTGTACCCTAGTTCTGTATATACAAATAAATAAATAAATCTTTAAAAAAAAAAAAACCTTGATTCAGTCTTTAGTCAAGACTACAAAGAATTCTTCTCAGATCCAAGAAAATTTGTTTGCTTCTTTGTTTGACAGTTTTAGGTACTGAGAGAACTTATGGGGGATAAAAACCTTTCCAAGTCATCTTTTGGCACTAGTGCCAGTGCCAGCAGAGTAAGTGACAATTATATGGCAGTTGTCTGACTATGACAGACTTCAGGTTCTCTCTCTTTTGGGACTGAGATGCTCTGGTACCAAGGTCAAGGCTCCCTCTAACTGGAATGGTACCTGTTATCTGCCTCTGTGACCAATGCTAATGAATATCATCTCATTCAAGAAATAGAAACTGCTGAGCCAGATCCCAAATGGTCTGCAGGACCTTTCAATCTCTCTGAAGTGTCCTCTAGTCCTTCTCTGCATGGATTCTTTTTTTTTTTTTTTTTAAGAAATATGTCAATTTTATTTTTTTTTTAAAGATTTAGTTATTTATGCATATAAGAGCTGGAATATAGGCCAGAGGTTTGTGTGTGGAGGGGGTAGGAGGGTGAGTAGGTAAGAGGATTCACCAGAGACAGAGTAGGGAGCAGAAAAGAAAGAAATACACTGCTGAGGGGTGGAGGGCAGCAAGTGAGACAAAAGAGGTCTGCTGTGCCATGTGGTCAGCTCCCTGGCCGGGGATCGAACTCATGCTGCAGTGGCTGCAGAATGCCTCATACTGCCCAGACTTACCCCTTGAGCCACCATGGAGGGCCCCAACTGAAAATCTTAATGCCAGTTTCTAGAATACAAAAGGACAATATTCTGTAATCTTTGTGGAACAACTACAGCTTCAACTTCACTGGATCAAAGTGAAAATTAAATGAGATAATGGATGTGGGATGCTTAGCCTGTGGTACTACACATGGAAAACTCAAAAATGTGTGTTTATTACTATTATTATTATGCCCCCCCCCAGACCCCTTGAGGCAGCCAGGCTGAGTCTCCTTTGTGGAGGTACACTCATGCTTTCCTGCTCTCTCCATCAAAGCACAGGCCCCATCTCAGGCTCATCTTCAATGCAGAAATTGGGGATACCAACAGCTACAAGCAGCATCCATCCTTTCCCTCTCAGCTTGTAGTCTCTCTTCCCACCACCCTATGGTGGAGGCTAATGCTAACAGGAAAGGCAGGAAGACCTGGCCAGACTTCTCACTAAACAGATTCAACATTAAAATTTAAACCTCAAATATACCACATAATACTCACTTAGGCTTAAACTGTACCATTTATACTGGTAAAAGACCTATTTCAGGGGTATCACATCTTTGTATTCCATCTATAATAAATGATGAAGTCACAAAAGCTCTTTTCACCTACCTTTATCAGGTTCTCTACTTCATGGAAGTCCTAGATGGGAGAGAAAAAGACAAGACCATTGTAAAACAGGCAGTATCTGTTAGCTGTATACAGGTTATGGCAGTGATTAAAAGCACAGACCTGGGGGTGGACTGGGTAAAGAGGCAAGTCCAGGATGATATCGTTCTTTGCCTTTCTGGCCTTCAGTTCCCCGCTCAGAGTGACAAAGGTTAGAGTGGTATTCACGTTTTCTGGTCAAAAAAAAGGGGGGGGAGGGGGGAGGAATCATAATTCATCTCTGAGAAAATTGTTTGAAAAGGAATCCAGAAATAGGAAGACAAACTTTGCTGTATGTTTGCTTTTTGCCATCCTGGACTTTCTGACAATGTTGTCCTTTCCTGTGAAGGGAGCCTCAGTTGGGATGCTAGGGTCTAAAGCATCAAAAATGCTCATCAGATGCTAATTTGAGAACTAAGAGCATAAAGGACTGGACTTGACTTATTCAACAAAGTTTCACATCCTGGCTGCTGACCACTTACTAGTTGTATACCTGTCCAAGTTATTTAACCTCCTTAAACCATGATTCCCCATCGATAAAATGGGAGAAAAATTAAACTGATCCAAATTTTTGCTTACCAGTAAAATGGGATTAATAATTAAATCTTAGAGGAATGCTGTAGAGTTTTCTAGTATAGATTTTAAAATTCCACCTATAATAACTATAGCAGTATGCACTAGGAGTCTAAGAAAAGCCAGTCTAATGTGAACAGATCAGATGTATTCTAAATAAAACAATTATACATAAAAAAGATTGACCTGGGGCCTCCCTATTGGAGCAAAGGATTAAGTCATAGTATTATGAAGCTACTGGTAGCCACTGCAGCACGAGTTCGATTCCCAGCCAAGGAGGTGACCCACATGGCACAGCAGATTTACCCTGCCTCGCCTGCTGCTCCCCTCAGCAGTGTGTTCCAGTTGATCCTGCCTGTTCTGCTCCCCACTCTGCCTCTTACTCCATGCACCTCTGACCTTATTATTATTTCGACAACTCAGACTTCAAAGTGAAACATTATAGTGAAAAAAAAAAAATATTTGCAACACAATTATTTTCTCCTGCCTGATAGTCCTGTAGTCCTGAGCCATATCTCAAAGGTGAGGAAATTCAGCACTGCTTATCAAATTTACTGAATATAAAATTCATATTCTAAAGTCCAAAGTTTATTTTTTTAACTTATAATTAGTACAATACATCATTGTTCACAAGGTATTTTAGAGGGACCTTATCTCTTCTAACTTTGAGAATCCTTTGGGAGATTTGAAAGCTAGCATTCCAAACCTAACATCATACTAACGAATGTGGGGTGTTCAAAAGGCACTCAATCCAATTTCAATAAAACCAACTTTTTAAGACTAAGTTACTAAACAATATTTCAGGATGCTTCCTTCCCTTCATTCTTATCCCCTATCCACATAAACCTAAATTATCTTCTGAAGATGTACAATGGATGACATTACAGAATGTAAGGTTTAACTCAACATTGTCTCCTGCCCTTCACCTTGTCCCACAGAAAGCTCCAGCTGCCCTCGTTATATAGACTGAGTCCCAGAGGATTTGCATACGCTGCTACCTCTGCCCAGACTTTTCTTCCTCCATGATGACTTTAATTCTTCACACAGAAGGCTTCATTGTATTCTGTAGCCCCAAAACTCCCTTCTCTAGTGGATGCTGTTCCTAGAATCTCATTTCCTTTCCTCTCAGGGCCAGGACTATATGAGACAGGGAAGACCAGAGGCACAAAAGTTTAGGAGACACCTGCCCTCAAGGACAACCTGAAGCCTTGGTTTCTCACCCTTCAATAGGGCCTGCCCTCAGCTGCCAAGAGTCCACTCTCGGAGCTGCCTTGGCTGAATGAGCTACTTGACCCAAAGTTACACAGCTTTCCTGGGAACTAGGGACTAGTCAATGGAGGGCATAAAGGCATGAATCTTTGTTCACTTTTGGAATTACACTGCTTGAAAGAAATTCCTAGCTTCAGATCTCTCTGTGGATTTGGCCTAGAATTTTTTTGTTGCTGCCAATTTGCCAATTTAGTTCAATCTTTCTCATTCAGTCCTGCTCTTTTTACTCTCTTAAAATTACTGATCCCAAGAACACTGCCCCCCCCCCAGTTTTGACAGCAAACAAAGGTGTCTCAGAGTCTTTTTTCTGGGGGAACCTGCCCTGTAACACATTCCCTTACTCTCCTTATCTAAAGTAACACCCCCAAAGAACCTCCTTTCCAACTCCTCACACTCTGCAGTTACCCTCTGTCATATCATCTATTTACTATAGATCTATGCTCGTCAGGGGCTGCTTCTGTCGCTCCTTTTAGGGCACTACCAGGCATTTCTCTGTCCCAATCCCAAAAAGCAATGATAGTGACCTATTAAACTAAATGCTGCTCAAGTGGGAACTGGTAGAATTAAAGTGTTACATACTCTCTTATCATCCAAGGCAAATAATCAAGTGTAAGGAAGCTTTCAAATTTATCATGCAGGGAAATTCTATATAAAATAAAGAGGCATTCCAGGGAACAACTATTACGGTTTCCAAAGATGTCTGACATACACTCAGAAAGCCAGAGGAAGTGTTACTGAAGTTTGCTGATTTTATTTCTGCATCAAGAATTGCAAGAAATAAACTCTGCTATCTATGCCTTTATACCAATCACTTAGGTTCATAAGAAAAAGAGGGTGAGAATTTTTTTAAATATTTGCTATCAGGGCCCTCCCTGGTGGCGCAGAGGGTTAAAGCACAGCACTAAGAAGCTAACACCACCTTAGCATGAGTTCAATCCCTGTCCCGAAGGTGACCCACATGGTGCGGCAGACCTCTTCTGACCCGCTCGCTGCTCCCCTCAGCAGTGTACTTTGTCAGTCAGCCTGTTCTGCTCCCCACTCTACCTCTGGTGAATCCTCTCACTGCCCCTGCACCTCTGGCTTGTACCGAGTTCTGTATGTACCTCTGGCCTGTACCTCAGTTCTGTATGCATAAATAAATAAATTTTTAAAAATTTGCTATCAGATAAGTTATAAGTTCATACAGTAAAAGCACATTACTTATTTTGTAAAACAGCACAGCTGCAGAAGCCAGGGTAGCGTGACCACAGAGGGGGACCTCGCTCGCTGGTGTAAACCACCTTAATCCAAAGCAGGAACCTTCAGAGGAGGAAAAAAAATCAAAGAGACCAGGTCATTCCTATACAAATGGGTCGCAAGCTTTTCATTTCTTATTCCTTTCTGAGTAGTTCACCAGTGTGACTGATAGCTGAGATTGGTTGTGAAAGGAAAGGGGAAGTCTAGACAAACATCCTAGGGCTCCTCAGGGCAAGATCTGTATATGAAACTTTCAAATTAACTAACACCCATTCCCCCAGATAAACTGAAAACCAAATTGGAATCTCTCCCCACTAACTCCTACAGCAAACAATGCATAACTGGGCCTTTCCCTTAAATATCATTCTGTCATTGGAAAAGCAACTTTGGGTATCATTCAAAATTGGTTAAAAAAAAAAAAACGCATGTTTACTTTCTGTAAAGTTGTCTGTGGAGTGGAGTTTTCGGATAAAAGCAGTTTCAGAGAGGTTCATCTCCCTTGCAATTTTCTGATGCGCGTCTTCATCCAATTCCTGAATTAGAAACAGAAGCCTGAGACTCCAAAAATACAAATCAAACATCCTGCCATTAGTTAATAGGTCTATTGACATTAAAAGTTACATTAAAAGTTATCAAGGGGCCCTCCCTGGTGGCGCAGCGGGTTAAAGCACAGCACTGAGAATCTGAAGCCACTTCCGCATGAGTTCGATTCCCGCCTGCCCCGGAGGAGACCACATGGCGAGCCAGACCTCTCCTGACCCGCCCGCTGCTCCCCTCAGCAGTGTACTTCGTTGATCTGCCTGTTCTGCTCCCCACTCTGTCTCTGGTGAAGCCTCTCACCGCCCCTGAGCCTCTGGCCTGTACCCCAGTTCTGTATGAATAAATAAAAATAAATCTTTAAAAAAAAAAAAAAAGTTATCAAGGAGGCCCACCTGGTGGCACAGCGGTTAAAGCACAGCACTAAGAAGCTAAAGCCACTTCACCATGAGTTCGATCCCCACCCAGGAAGTGATTCATATGGCACAGCAGACCTCTCCTGACCTGCCTGCTGCTCCCCTCAGCAGTGTACTTTGTCAATCAGCCTGTTCTGCTCCATACTCTGTCTCTGGTGAATCCTCTTACCGCCCCTGCACCCCTGGCCTGTACCCCCGTTTTGTATGCATAAATAAATATATTATCAAGGAATCTGAGACACTCATATGAAGGATTTTTTCTTCAGAAATCCATACTAACAGGATGCTATGAGTTGCAGATGTACAAAGCTAGAACTGGCTCTGAAAAACTATATGGCCTGCTTGTCAGATTACTGTCTCACCTAAGAGCATGCATGCTCTTCTAAAAAAAAAAAATCACAAAGGCCACAATCTCAGAGATACACAGATTTCAACAATAAATACGCTATGACTTTAAATATGAGGCTTTGAGGTAGATTTAGAAAAATGGCAGATTACAGTGAGCTGGATAGGAAAATGAAAGCAAAGACCTGTATATTTGGGAAGCATCTTGGGCATGTCATTTGACCTCTATTCAGTTCTTTTAAATCAGTGAATGGCAGGCTTTCCTGGTGGTGTGGGGTTAAGTGTCAACACTAACAAGCTATCAGTAGCCACAGCAACTTGAGTTCCATGCCTGGCCAAGGAGCTGACCCATATGGTGCAACAGACCTCTCCTGTCTTGCCCACTGCTCCCCTCAGCAGTGTACTTCAGTCAACCTGCCTGTCTCTGATGAATCCTCATCTACCACAGCTCTGGCCTGTACCCAGTCCTTCTACGCATAAATAAATAAATCTTAAAAAAAAAAAAGGGTAATAGAACCAGCCCTCAATGTGTACCACAGTCAGCTGAATTTTACAAAGAAACCAGAGGTAAAGGTGAATCACGAGAAAACTAATGTTGCTTCAGCTTTGAGAGCACTAGAAACAAAAGAATGGCTGTATTCATTCAAAATACCAAATTTTGATTCAGTAATTTTTCCATTTTATACTACTATTATTTTCAAATGCTACAAATAACTGTTACAAACCAACAGCTACTGTCATGTAGGAATACCCATTACCCCTTGGCATTGTCACATGAATTCAAATATCCAGCAGCAAAAACAGCCTTGTTTGTTTTTCTGAGTTTCAAGTATGGAACTGGGACACTGAGGTTCCATCACCATATGGCCCTCCAGAGACTAATGATTAGAAAACCAACTAGTAAAGTTTTAAAATACTCCCACCTTGTGGCAGTTTAGAAATATAACAACCTAAACAGAACAGTACTGTTTTATATTTGGTCATTTGTCCCTTGCTAAGATTCCAACAAGGGAAAAGCACTTTGATGTAGAAAGTTCTAACACAACTGAGGAGCTTCCTCCTGAGTCTCCTATCTGAAATTATGTCCACAAAAGCAATATTCAAATTGTAGGCTACATTTAGTTGTTCCCAATGCTTCTTACAGATCCCTCATCTTCCCAGTTCCTTCATAAAGGTCCAAAGCTCATACTCACTTTGTGTACTTTACTAACCCCTGCACTAATGGGAATATAAGGCCAATAACTGTTGATTAACTAGAACTCTGAGAAATAGATTTTTCCATAATCACTTATAAAAGTAAACTATTTACTGTAAATTATTTACCCATGATCACACATGGGTTAAGATATCAAAGTGGCCTCCTTGGTGGCGCAACAAGTTAAAGCACAGCACTATGATGCTATCACAGCCACTGCAGCATGAGTTCAATACCCGGCCAGGGAGGTGACCCACATGGTGCAGCAGACCTCTCCTGGCCCGCCCTCTGCTCCCCTCAATCTGTCTGCTCTGCTTCTAACTCTGTCTCTGGTGAATCTTCTCCCTGTCCCTGCACCTCTGGCCTATACCCCATTTCTTATGCATAAATAATTTTTTAAAAAGGTATCAAAGAATGAGGCAGGTAAGTATTAAGTGAATCACAAGAGTGATTCACGTGACCAACTAGGAAGTTAGGGTGCTAAGGAGTATACGAAAGGAGAGGAGACCCAGTCTGACAGTGAGTACGGTGGTTTGAGGAGCTCTTTGGTCAGGAAGAGCTGAGGTAGGATCCTGAAGTCATTCATTTAGAAGCGTGTGACCTTGGCCAATTTACTCAACCTTCCCTTGCATCAGTTTCTTCATCTGTAAAATGTGGATAATAATAACAATAGCTACTTACAGAGTGAATAGGTTGAATAGGTGAAATGAGATAACATATAAAAAAAATGTAACAAAGTATTTGACTGTACTTGCCAAAGTTACTGCTACCAAAGCTAAGGATAATGTTGCAAAAGGCACTGAGAAGCCTTATGAAGCAGAAATTCCTGTATTAACATCTCCTCTCTGCACTGTTCTCTTCCCACATAACTGGACAAAGGAAAACCTTTTAATGCCCTGAAAGATTTTCTCCACACTCCTTATTCCTCTTACAGGCATAAAAATGAGATATGAGGTTAGAACACCCTAGAAATCCCAGGAACCTCTGACCCAAGGTGATCACACCTGGCTACTGAAGGTCAACTAGCTCAGAAGTGGGCAGTGCACCATACATTTTCCATCTGAGCTGAAGCTAATGGATTAAACATAGTGTTTTTTAGAACTTGTTTTTCCTTAAATATATAACCCACTAAACTGTAAAGAGATTTTGGTGCTCTTTAAATTTAATAAAGAGGAAAACTGAAGAGTAAGAGTTCTAGAAACTAGAAAGAAAGCATTTCTTTTTAAAAGTGTAAAGCCAATCCCCATAGCTGTACTGAAAATGATGACTAGTGTTTAAATGAATAATAAAGCAAATGGATGGATATTACATTTGACCCTAGCAGTGTCCAGCACCAGGTGGACAGCCAGTAAATACGAGTTGAGTTGGAATAAACGTACATACTGAGCACAGAACAAAACTGATTGTGTGAATCACTGTAACAGGAAACCTCAGCAATAAACCATTCTAGAAAATGTAAGCAGTAAATCAACGATTTTTGAATGTCATGACTGGAGGAAAAGGCGGTACTACTGTGATTGACTGTGCAATGGCCAAGGATATTGCTAAATGTTTTACAACAGACAGCCTCACACAGCAAAGGACAGCAAGATCCAAAGTACCAAAGTGTCAAAGTGCTGCTATTGAGAAACTCTTCCCTAAACACACACACACCACCTACCTACCACCTACAACAACACAAAACAAAAAAAGCTTGAGACAGAATTTGAAAGAGAAAACCTAGGTTGCCTAATCCTGCTGAAAGGCTATTTTCACTATTACAGAAAATAAAGTAACGCCATGGCCACGGAGTTTCTGTACACAGCTGTCATCTAATGCAAGCATTTCATATTTTTTGCATTGTGTCTATATAGTGTCCATGACTCTCATGATCTTTAATGCCAAACTATCAGTCATTTGAAGATGCTATTAATTCTTTAACATTTAAATATTTTTAAAATATCTGTCTCATTTTCTATTTTCTAGAGCTTTGATTTTTAAGATTTTATTTTTTATGCATATAAGAACTAGGGTCTAGGCCAGAAGTGTGGGGGAAGGGAGGGTGAGCGGATTCACCAAAGACAGAGTAGGACCAGAACAGGCAGATGGACTGACATACACTGCTAAGGGGAGCAGCGGGCTAAACAGGAGAGGTCTGCTGTGTTATGTGGGTTCGTTCCCTGGCCAGGAGATAGCCTCACAACACTGAGACTTTAACTCCTGTACCACCAGGGAGGTCTCCCCTTAGCCATTATTTTGTTCTAGTTTTTACCCAAGAGCGAGTATTATAAAGTCCTAGTATGGAAATTTGTCAAGACATTTCTCTTGAAAGGAAGACCAAAAAAAATGACTATAATACTACAGAAGCTTTTAGAACTTTGTTACCCCAAATTTTTGGTAGTACTTTCCTTCCTGTAATCTCTTAACTATGTTCAAAAGTTCGAAGTGCAATGACTTAGTCTTTAGTCTACCCGCCATGTTTTTCTGTGGTTAATTTCATTTCTGCTAGATTTTACATAGCTTTGTTTTTTTTTTTGTTTTTGTTTTTTTAAAGATTTATTTATTTATTCATATAGAACTGGGGTAACAAGCCAGAGATGCGGTGGGTGAGAGGATTCACCAGGGACAGAGTGGGGTGCAGAACAGGCAGATTGACGAAGTACACTGCTGAGGGGAGCAGCAGGCGGGTCAGGAGAGGTCTGCCTCGCCATGTGGTCACCTCCGGGGCAGGCGGGTATCGAACTCATGCTGAAGAGGTTTTAGCTTCTCAATGCAGTGCTTTAACCCGCTGCGACACCAGGGAGGGCCAACATAGCTTTGTTTTTTAATAAAGATTTTATTTATTGATGCATACAAGATCTGGAGTACAGGCTAGAGATGTGGGGGATGAGAGGACTCACCAGAGACAGAGTGGGGAACAGAATAGGCAGATGCACTGAAATACACTGCTGAGGGCAGCAGTGGGCGAAACAGGAAAGGTCTGCCACACCATGTGGGTCACTGCCCTAGCCAGAGATTGAACTCGAGCTGCAGTAGCAGCAGACAGCCCCACAGCGCTGCACCTCAACCCCCTGCACCACTCGGGAGGCCCCTTACATAGTTTTAAGGAAGAAAAAAAAAGAGAATGTTCCTTTGAAGCCCAATATTTAAACCCGAAGAATTTTCTCCTCCGTAAAATCCAATCCTCTAGAGTTTCCATTTTTCCTGGCACCCAAGGTCATTTTAGCTTCTATGGGGACAACTGAATAATGATCAGGTTTATTTGTCTCTTCACTAGACTTTGAGCCCCTCAAAGACAGCCAGGTTGACTAATCTTTGTACCTCCTGTCCCTAGCCCAGAGCCTGGCTCATGGAAGATGTTGATAAATATTTGTAGATTGTGCTAATGACAGCCTGAACGCCATCTGAATTGTGACCTGCTGACTGCTCCCCTCAACAGTATACTTCCTCAATCTGCCTATTCTGATCCCCACTCTGTCGCTGCCAAAGCTTCTCAGCACTCCTGCACCTCTGGCCTGTACCCCCAAGTTCTGTAGATCTAAGTAAATAAATCTTAAAAAAAACAAAACAAAGATATCTATTCATTTGTTCCTCAAAGGCCACCAAGCTAACCTGGTTCATAGATACAAGTCCCAAAAGTAAATGTAGAGATTATTTCAAGAGCATCCCTAAAACAAGGACTCTTGTTTTTTTTTCTTTCCTCCATTTGTACTGAAGTACAGTACTTTGAACTATGTCAAATTCTTGGCCCAAATTCTATGTCTATTGATATTATATAAATAATATATATTTTTAATAGAGAAAGAAATCTTTAAGTCTCTTAAGGATTAGTGAGTGTACTGGAGGTAAAAAAGCTGGAAAATAGGCTCTCCCTGGTGGCAAAACAGGTTAAAGCTTTGCACTATGAAGCTCTCAGAAGCCACTGCAGCATGAATTCGATCCCCTGTCAGGGGGCTGACCCACATGGTGCGGCAGACCTCTCCTGACCCTCCTACTGCTCCCCTCAGCGGTGTACTTTATCCTCTTCTGCTCCCTACTCTGTCTCTGGTGAATCCTCTCACCCACTACTGGACTGTACCCCAGAGTTCTGTAAGCATAAATAAATAAATATTTTTTTAAAAAAGCTGGAAAATAATACTGCACAGTTCTGTGACACTATCCTCAGCCACTGTAGCATAATTTCAATCCCCAGCCAGAGGTGATGCACATGGTATGGCAGAATTTTTCTGTCCTACCCGCTACTACCCTCAGCAGTGTATTCCAGTCAATCTTTTCTCCAGTTTGTCTCTGGTGAGTCCTCTCACCCCCACATCTCTGGCCTGTATCCTCTTTTTTATATGCATGAATAAATAAAATCTTTTTTAAAAAATTATTGAGGCCCTCCCTGGTGGCACAATGGGTTGGGATGCAGCACTGCAAGCTGGCAGCACCTGCTTCAGTGTGAGTTCGCTCCCTACCCCTGGAAGCAACCACATGGATTGGCAGAGCTCTCCTGACCGGCCCGCTGCTCCCCTCAGCAGTGTGCTTCATCAATCTGCCTGTTCTGCTTTCCACTCTCTGATGAATCTTCTCATCACCAGTTCTGTATGCATAAATAAATAAATCTTAAAAAAAAAAAAAAGAAAGAAATGTCTAAAAATAATTTATTGATGCTGCTTTCAAAGCTCTTCAAGGATATTACATGAGAAAGAGGGGCAAAAATATATAGAGACTATTCACAAGTAGTTTTAGTCAATTCCACAATTCTTTGACATAAAATTTTATTTACAGGCCCTCCCTGGTGGCGCAGCCGGTTAAAGCACAGCACTAAGAAGCTAAAGCCACTTCAGCATGTGCATTTGATCCCCACGCTGGAGGTGAACACATGGCGCAGCAGACCTCTGCTGACCCGCCCATTACTCCCCTCAGCAGTGTACTTCGTAGATCTGCCTGTTCTGCTCCCTGCTCTGTGTATGGTGAAGCCTCTTGCCGCCCCTGAGCCTCTGGCCTGTACCCCAGTTTTGTATACATAAATAAAATCTTTAAAAAAAATTTTTTTGTTTATCTAACTGTTTCTAAGGAAAGTTCAAGATTTAGATTCTGGCTGTTAATTATTCTCCCACTAGATCTCCCAAGCACTTGTGTAACTTGATAGAGTCTATTCGTTTTATTGCTTTCTGCATTTTGTGGTTGGAAAATGCCAGCTACAAGCTTGCATAATGAACGCAGCATTAAAATGAGATGAAGGCTGTGAATCACTATTTTGCTATTCCACTTGAGGGAGAAAATAAGGTATCTCTGGGCCTCCCTGCTAGTACAGGAATTAAGTCTCAATGCTATCAATTGATGACCCACCACTGCTGTATGAGTTCAATTCCCCAGACAGGGAGCTGAACCACATGGCACAGCAGACCTCTCCTATATCATCTGCTGTTCCCTTCAGCAGTGTATCTCAGTAGGTATGTCAGTTCTGCTCCTGACTGTGCCTCTGGTGAACACACACACACACTCAGATACCTATGCCTCTGGCCTACATTCCAGTTCTTGTATGCATACATAAATAGAAGAAATATTATTTATTGATACCCTTGTTGAGCATATCGAGGACTCAACTAACAATATTTACCTGTCTCAGCAAAACTTTAATCATTCTCCTAGAGAGTATACATATTTTGGAGAAGCTTTAGGAAACAGTACATCGATGGCCCCACCCCCAGAGCGTCTGTGTAATTGGTTTGTGCTGAAGCCTGAGCATAGGAAGTTTTGTTTTTCTAATTTTTATTTTTGCATAGAACAGGGGTGCAGGCCAGAGATGGAGGTGGGGTGAATGAGAGGATTCACCAGAGGCAGAGTGGGGAGCAGAACAGGTGGATTTACTAGATACACTGCTGAGGGGCGAGGCAAGCAAGACTGCTGCACATAGGTGGGTCATCTCCTTGGCTGGGGAGCCAACGCAGGTCGGAGAGGTGACTGCGTTGAAACTTAACCTGGAGGCCACCAGGGAAGCCTTGGGCATAGGAATTTTTAAAAGCTCCTTGTGTGACTTTAATGTGCAGGCCATTTGAGGTTCACTAAGCTGGAAATCCCCAACACACACTTTGTCCAGCTTAAAAAGACAAGATCATCCATCGCCTGCTCTGTCCCTGCAGTAATTCTCAAATAACCCAGATTCGCACTAACTTGGCTCTAAACTGAGGTGTCCCTGGACTTATTTCCTAAACCCAGGTACCAATGCAAAGCCACTAAGGTTAAGGAATAGTTCTGTTACCCTGTAAATAAGGTTCTCCTGTAAATAAGATTACCCTGTAAATAGGTTCTCCTTGTATTAGAGCTTAAACACTCCCACTTTTCTACTTAATTCCCTCCTAATTGTCTGTCTTTCTTGGTTCTGAGAAGAATTTTTAATTGTCTGAGATATAAGTTTTAAGATATCTACTTAGAATCTTTAATGCTAAATGTATTCCAGCCATATCCAGTCACATAAATTTCATCTCATTTCATACTCTTTCACACTTAATGCTAATTAAATGAAAAAAGTAAAACTCTGGTGCTCTAAAAGGAAGCTATAGTTCTTTTCTTTAAATTGACTCTAGTTCTTTACATGAATCTTTACTTTTCTAGATTTGACCTTGGTGTAAGAATGCTCATCACTTAATTTGATAAAGATTAACTTACAGAGAAGAACTGCTAATATTTAACAACACAAACCAAAGAGATAAAGAGGTGGATTTGAAATTTTTTTAAATAAATGCTTGGTTCTAGAGGAGTCTGGAATTTTAGGTACTGCACTTCCAAACCAAGTACTTACATTTTCCAAGAGGCAAACAGCAGCAGGGTTTCCACGAAATGCTTCTGCTGTGAATGCATCTGCTATGAAAATCGGAAGCTTCATTTTCCTTGCAAGCTGTTTCCAAGCTCTCAGAATTGCTGGTAGCTTGCTTTATTTCTTGCTGTTGCAAAAAAAAAAAAAAAAGGTTAATGTTTTACTTAGTATACAGACATAATCAGCAGTTCCAGATACTAAGCCAGGCAATTATGTTAACACATCTACATTTAAAGGTATGTGAAACCTGAGGTTAGGTTTTTAATGAAGTGTGTAAAATGTTCAAGGCATAGGTATATTGCTTACAGTCATAAATATTACCATTCTTTTGAAAGTATGTTTTTCTAATTATAAATAACTTGGAAAATTAAAAAGCATATAACCTTGCAAACCAGCAAAAAAACATTTTTTTGTTGGATTCAACATAGTCAAAGGAGCCTTGTAAATATTTAGCAAATGCTTTAGTAAATATTGTGATATTTTGTAAATATGCTTTGTAGACTTTCTTGAATTCATGATTCAGATTTGTTAAAATAAATCTCTTCACTGTTAGAATAATACTTGTTCTTTACTGAAAATTTATAAGATAAAGAAATGGGGTCAAGGGAGGGGGCAAAATCATATTTATTTCACTCCCCAGAGATAAATCCTGTTAACATTCTAAGTGTTTCCTTTCCAAGCAGAGACTTTGGGAAGGAGGAATCCCCTATTACTAGAACATTATAGAACTTTTAAAAATATGTTCAGCAATTAAAACTTTGATTAAATCAAAATTTAAACCTGCCCTCAGCCCCATTTTGCTTACCTCTCCAGCCAAATCCCCTTTTTCTTTTATTTTTTTAAAGATTTATTTACTTATGCATATAAGAACTGGGGTACAGGCCAGAGATGCAAGGGTGGGGGTTAAAGGATTCACCAGAGATAGAGTGGGGAGCAGAACAGGCAGGCTGACCGAAACACACTGCTGAGGGGAGCAGTGGGTGAGACAGGAGAGGTCTGCTGTGCCATGTGGGTCATGTCCCTGGCTGGGGCCTGCTGCAGTGTCTAAGGCCTGCCTCACAGTGCTGACATTTAGCCCATTGTGCCACTAGGGACGGCCCTCTTTTTTTCTTTTTAATTGAGAAAAAATGAAATATAACACTACATTAATTTCAGGTGTACATTAGCTGATGTTTGTACATATTGCAAAACGATCCCCAGTCTCATTAGCATTTGTCATCTTTCATAGTTACTGTAGTGTAGGCAGGCAGCACGGGGGGAGGGGAGCCAAATCCTGGCCCTGCGAATCTTTACCCTCGCTGGGCATTCTGACACTGTCTACTGGTCTCTTCCTCTTGCGTGGTTCTCTGCAGTACCATTCTCTGTGATGCTTCCAGGGTCAGCCATACCCACTTAAGAACAACCACACCACACTCCAGGTGTCTGCCATCAGGAAAGCATGCCCCATGCCCACGCTCTCAAGCCTCGTCTGCATTCAAGGCTGAAAGTGATGGTCACAGAGGGCAATGGCGCAGAGCATCTTCATTTATCCTACAATCCACCCTCAGGGTTTTTCACCATACCATCTACCCACAAGTCTCCACTGGCGTGTGTGGAACACTGCAGCCATGACCCACAAGAGTAACAGTGCAAGTGAATAAAGCAATACAACAGAATACAGCTAAGCCCAGGCAGGGCACCAAACTAGGAGCAAAAAGAAGTTACTGGTCCCAGTAGATGATACCCCAAGTTTGCTGCTGAAGGTGATACTCAAAGGGAGAAACTACTCTATTCACTCATAGCATCTACCTTCCCACAACCGGAGCCATCAGGCTTCCTGCCCTTCTTCAGTTGTGATCTCAGCCACAAGCCTTACACAGCATCCACTTCCAGGATGCATTCACTCTGAGATTGCTTTTTAGGTGTAATTGCTCAATCCTCAAGGGTATGCACTTCTGTCACACTATACTGTTTTCATAGTCACCAATGAGACAAGCAGACCCCTGCACTAAGGCCAACCCTTTGCACATGCACACAGGCCAGGGCCTGTGGTTAGCAAGTTCCACGTATGGCTTCTCTCTGGTCCCCTCTCCGCCACAGCCACACTCTCCACTCATCCCCTGAAGACAGGTTCCTAAGCATCTCACTCATATTTAACAGTGAACAGGACATCACCCATAAGTGACTTTAAGAGGCTCACCTGCATTCTTTTGCCTCCTTTTGGCTGCTTCGCAACTGCTCAGGACTTTCTGACCTTAGCATCAGCTATTTTTCTTTCTCTAAGTTGGTTTTTTTGATACATGTCCTTTGCCGGGCTGCAGAGAACCCAACACAAGACTGCTTTAGGACACCAAGGCCCACCAACCACCCCTTGATTTTCATTTCCTGGGGTATACAAATAATACCATACGTCCCCAGACGTCCACAGATATAACATCAACCACTGAAGTTTCCCTGCCTTCTGGCAGAACTTTCAGCCCAAGCCCTGAATGTTTGTTTTTTTAAATTTATTTTTATTTACTTATGCCTACAAGAACTGGGGTGTGGGCCAGAGGTTGGGTGGAGGAGAGGATTCACCAGAGACAGAGTGGGAAGAACAGATAGATCTACTGAAATGCACTGTTGAGTGGAGCAGTGAGATAGGAGAGTCTGTTTTGCCAAGTGGGTTAAGTGCCTGCCTGGAGATTGAACTCATTTCAGTGGCTGGCCCAGGTTTATAGTGCTGAAATTTAACCCCATACATCACCAGGGAGGCTTGCAATGTGATTTATAAGAAAAATGAGCAATATGGTGATTAGACTTAAATTATTTAAAATAGCTATCTTCTGCAGCCTTTTTCCTTGTTCTCCACAGCAATCTAATGAACATAAAGAAAGTTCAATACTTACAATGATCTTCAAAAGTTAAAGTATTCAGTGGTTCCCTCTATTTTCTTACTTTCTGTATAGCTACTAAAGTCAGATAAGACTTTTTGTTACATAGTCTTGGAATAAACAATTAAACAATTTAAATAATATGAACATATCTGGGCCTCCCTGGTGGTGCAAGGGTTAAGTCTCAGACTATGAAGTAATAGCCAGCACTACAGCAAGAGTTTGTTCTCTGGCCAAGGAACTAACCCAAAAGGCACAGCAGACCTCTCCTGTCTTGCCCACAGCTCCCCTTAGCAGTTTATTTCAATATAGCTATCTGTTCTGCTCCCCACTCTCTCTCTCTGGTGAATCCTCATGGCCCTCTCCCCGCAACACCCAATTTCTTGTATGCATAAGTAAATTTTTTAAAAATCTTAAAGAGCTCTCCCCAGTGGCACAACCAGTTAGGGCTCAACACTATGAGGTTATCCACAGCCACTGCAGCATGAGTTCCATCACGGGCCAGGGAGGTGACCCATATATATGGTGCAGCAGACCTCTCCTATCCCAGCGCCCACTGCTCCCCTCAACATTGTTATTTCAGTAGATTTGCCTGTTCTGCTCTCCACTCACTTTGGTGAAACCTCACACTCCCCACACACACAACCCCTCTGACCTGTACCCCAGTTCTTGTATGCATAAATAAATCTTTAAAACAGAAACAATCTTTAAAAAAAGAAACAAAGTATTGAGAATGTAAACCATCTAATTATGCCTTACTTTAAGCAATACTTTTGAATTTTTACTTCTTTCTAAAGACAGTAGGTATATAGAATATAAATCAAAGAAGCATTTTATGCATTTTAAGTAAGACAGATTTAGTGTTCAAAAGATACTAGCTACCTTAATTAGATACATTCCTAAAAACATATTTGTTTTTGTGTGTGTTTAGCTTGTTTGTCTTGCATACAAACAATGAGATAATTCAGCTTTTATGTTATTTCCCCCTCCTTCTTTTACGCTATTTTAGAAAGCCATCATGGGTATGAGAATAACTATCTTAACCAGTTTTTGGTTAAATTACTTTCTCTTCCCCAGCAGTCTAAATCTCTTTCAACTTCTTTCTTTTTCTTAGGCTTGCATGGAATTTTCTTCTGTTCTTCATTCTGATGGTGCAATACGTGCCACATGTTCATTGTCTTGTTTTACTTTGGGTAGTGTGGGTACTTCTATGTCAAGCTTTTCCTTTTACATCTTTTCTCTTATTATAACCTCTAACAAGATCCTCTCCAAGGGCCCTCTGATCTCTGTGCTAACAGAAAAGCACTGAAATGACCCAAAGAAAGACTAAGAAAAAAAATTCCCAAAAGCTGTGAGGAGCCCTTAGTTCTAACATCTCTATGGAAACAATTCCACAGAGATCAATCTGGAAACAATTCAGTAGGGATCACTATAGCAGTGTTGAGCCAATTTCACCAAGCCTTATTTGCAGAATTCAACTTGCAAATGGGAATAGTTCATAGACTTTTTTTTAATATAAAAGTAGTATAAAAATAGGACATCAAATAAAAATTGGGTTTGCTCCAATGTATGTAGCCCATTTTCAACTCAAAAATTCCTACTCCTTATAATAATAAGACAAAATAACAAAAAGGAAAAAAGATTTCATGTACTAATTTCAAGTTCTTCCTAAGTGTTCATATTAGCAAACAGTAGAGTATCCAATGCAGAGAAATTATTGTCAAAAAGCAAAGAAAACATGACAGCTTGGTGGTGAAAAGTCATTGGAATGATTTTAAGGTTGTGCTCATAGCCATATAGAGTAAACATGTGAAAAGAATGCTAAATTCAGTCAGGCAGTGAATAGATGGTTTGAATTAGGGCAAGAAGTGAAGAGGATTACAGAATTCCATCTACCAAGTCAGGCTGAAAGACCTGATAAAGTGGCAACATAACTGGAACCCAGGGAAGTAGAACCAAGGAAGAACTCCACATGAAGTGCGGGACTTGGAGTCTTATTACTTAAAATAGTAATTTTTAAGATTTTTTTATTATTATAATAATTTGGTTTTACATCATTTTGTGTCTTTTCCCATCTCAGTTGTAATCCCCTTGGGCTTCCCATCTCCAATTCACCCGTGTGCCATCACCATAGTCCTGTGCACTCTCCCCCACCACACACACATACACATTGATCCCATGCCCCATCCACCCCCATAAAATGTCTCTGGTATATAGTTGTTTGTTATTATAAAATAGTAATTTTTAAAGCAATTATTAAAAAAGAAGGAAAAGGAGGAGAGGGTTGCTCACATCAGTGACAAAAGAGCTATGAAGTTTCAATAAAGTACCAATAAATGGTAACTGCAGGTCTCCTCAGATGGTAACTTGTTATCAGAAGAATTAACCTCAATTTGCTTAAAACGAGGTCTCTTCCCTTAAAAATTATTTACAGTATGGCTTTAAGATCCAGACCATAGAGTTTGGGATCAAATCCTAACTTCTGTGAGGAATGTGGCCTCATGCAACTTTTTTCACTTCTCTAGGGTTCAAGCACCTTATTGAGCTGAAAGGTAACTGTTAACTTCCCCTTAGTGTAAGTGAATGAATTGAGCACAGAGTCTAGTTCAAGCAAGTTCACAATAAACTTCATCTATTATCACATTATCCTGTTTTTGTTTTTCAAAGGGCAAGGTGATAATTTCTAGAGTCAAAATAGAATAGTAAAAGCCTGGGAGGAATAGACCAAAAGGAGACCAATAAACCACTCCCTCCCTCCCATACCCCCCAACTAGAGGTAACTGGACATTTCCACACAAGGATGATAAAGAAAAAGGACGCTTAAGATAAGGGCTGAGATGCAAAATGTAATTCTGCACAAAGACATTAAAGACAGAATGAGAGAGACCACTAAGAGCCTTGAAGAGGCATTAGAATAATTAGGGAAAGAGCTATATATTTCCTGAGGCAAAACTTCACTTAGGCTTCATTGCCCTTCCCTGTTCTGTTTCCACCAGCCTGAGAGTCCACGTTGTTCCTTTTCTTTTTTTAATCTTTTATTTAGCATGGATACAAAAACTGGGGTACAGGCTATAAGTGCAGGGGGTAAGAGGATTCACCAGAGACAAAGTGGGAAACAGAACAGGCAGATCTATTGATGTATTGAAGTACACTGCTGAGGGGAGCAGCCCTGGAAACTGACCTGGGGGGGTGGGTGGAGCTAAACACGTGCAGCAGTGGCTGTGGATAGCTCTGCACTTTAATGGGTGGCACCACCAGGGAGGGCCTGCTTTTCTCCTATAAATTTTTCTCTTATTTCTCTAAACAAATTTGCCTCCCTTTGCTTACTTGGCCTGAGCATCCGTGAAGTTCCTGCTGCAGCTTCGTGAGACACCAACCTGTGGTGGGCTGATGGCTAGGACTCAGCCCTGCCACCACAGCCTGGGATGCATTCCAGACTTGAAGAGAGCCCTGAACACTTAAAATTACAGTATCATTGTGATGATGACCACACTATCCCTCCTCCACCCTCCGAGGGATATTTGTAAAGTGGGCTCAAGAAAGGCAGTAAGGCCACTACGTTCTTCCTAATTCTTAGTGTCCTTGATTATTTTAAGCAGGCTTACAGATAAATTAAAGCTATGAAATGGACGTTCATTCATGCTTTTCCACCGTCAATAACCCATGAACCTTCACATCATCCATGACAAGCTTGCCGATTTCTACAGCACAATGTCCAGTGTTTTTTGAATGAATATTGAAGGTCTACAACCTAGTCTCGCCCACAATTCCAGCCTAAAGGAACACAAACTGTGCTGAAATTCTTTTCCTCTTTTCCCTCCCTGTGCTGAAATTCGTCTTTTACCTCACGTGTGTTTCTGCAATATATTTGGACTTTAACGTGCACTAATCTCTTTATCAGAAACACGAATTGCTTTTTTTTGACACTTTGAAAGTCCCCAAGGTGACACTATGAAGCTTGGTGCTATAACAGTACAACCCAAAGTGTCCTGCATCACTTGGCGCAATTTTTAAGAACGCAAAACTCTATTTTGACAGCAACTTTACAAGGAAAAGGTGACCAGCCACTGAGGTTCTAAAGGAGCAGGGC